AACTTCTTGCAAATTTTTTCGTAGGTCATTCAGGACATTTTAGGGATCATAGAAGAACAGTTCAAAAGACGGGGACTGAAGGTCAGTGAATTATGAGACTTAAGAGATTAACTCTCCATGTTACAAGCACTGATTTTTAGCCTTGTGGCAGGGAACCACAAGGTGAACTGCATAAAGACTGTGTAGTTGTGGATCTAGTGACAGCAGTTGAATAGTTCTGTAGCTAGAGCTCACGAAAGTCCCAGGAGAGAGAGAAAGGCAAGGATTCTAAGAAAGAGACAAGCCAACCATGGCTAAAAGTTAAGATAACATCAAATAAGAAAGATATGTAATATAGCAAGGATTGGTGGTAAGCCAGAGGGTTGTAAAAGTTTTAAAATCGAGCAAGAATGACCAAAATAATAATAAAGGAGTAGATAAACTTTGACAATAAACTTGCAATTAATATTCAGATGGACGATAAGATTTCCTTTAAATATAGAAACGGGCCAAAGATTCCATTTGCCTTCCCTATTACCCAATGAACTTGATTGCTAGCTTTTTATGCTCCTGCAAGAATAAGTCTGGGAAATAATGGGGAATCAGAAAATGGCAGAGGATTTGAATAAATATTTTGCATCACTCTTCATGATAAAAGACATTCCAAAGTTACTAAGTAATCAAGGGACAAAAGGAGAGGAAATAAATTCAATAACCACCACTAGAGAAAAAGTGCTAGAAAACCTAATGGGGCTAAAGACTGATAAATCCCCTGGAACTGGTGGGATGTATCCTGGATTTTAAGAGTTAGCAACAGAGATAGTGGACGCACTGTGAGCGATCATCCAGAAATTCTTAGGTTAAAAAAATATATTTAACAAAGAAAACAAAAAAAAGGTAACTATAGGCCAGTTAGCTTAACATCTGTTACTGGGAAAATGTTAACAGTCTTATTATAAAGGAGTGAAATACATAATATGATCAAGGAGGCATGGCTCTTGACAGATTTATTACAATTTCTTGAGGTAGAAGAATAGATAAAGTGAAGGCAGTGTATATATTTGGATTTATAGAAGGCTTTTGATAATGAACCACAGGTTTGGTTATTTAAACACCCATGATGTTGGAGGAAATATATTAATATAAGTAGAGGATTGGCTAACTAGTAGAAGTATGAGTTGGGATAAGTGGAGCAGTTTCAAGATGACAACTGTAACAAGTGGTATGGCACAGAGGTCAGTGCTTGGACCACAATGATTTTTAACATACGTCAATCATTTGGATGAGGAAAGTGAATGTACTATAGCCAAAGTTTGTGGATGGCACAAAAATAAGTCGGAAGGCAAATGGTAAGGATGACTCAAATATTCTGCAGAAGGAAAGAGACAGGTTATGCGAGTGGGCAAAATGATGGAGGATGGAATGGGAAAATGAAAGGTCATGCATTGGTGGAAGACTACAGCAGCTGCATTTTATTTAAATGAAGAAAGCTACATCACATAGCGATTAAGGAGTCATAGAGTCATACAGAACAGAAACAGACCCTTTGGTCCAACCAGTTCATGCCAAACATAATCCCAAACTGAACTAGTCCCCCCTGCTTGCTCCTGGTCCATATCCGCCCAAACCATTCCTATTCGTGTACTTATCCAAATGTCTTTTAAACATTGTAATTGTACCAACATTCACCACTTCCTCAGTTTCATTCAATAGTAAGGAAGGCAAATGTAATCTTTGCCTTTTTTCAAAAGGAATGGAGTATAAAAGTAGAGAAGTCCTGCTAAAACTATACTAGGCTTTAGTTAAACAACAGTTGGAACGGATTTGGGTCCCTAATCTAAGTAAAGATATTGGAAGCAATGCAAAGAATGTACACTATTGCTAATCCTGAGTATGAAGTCTTCTGAGAGGTTGAGTAGATTGGACTGGTACTCATTGGAATTTAGAAGAATGAGAGGTGATCTTACTTAAGTATACAAGATTCTTTGAAGACTTGACAGAATAGATGTGGAAAGGTTGTTTCCTCTTCTGATAATGTTTAGGATCAGCGGGCGTAATCTCAGAATAAGGACTTGCCCATTTAATACAGAAATGAAGAGGAATTTGTTTTTTCATAGGATAGTGAATCTGTGGAATTCCTTACTGGAAATGGCTGTCAAGGCAGGGTCATTAACTATATTCAAGGCTGAGTTTTTTTTAAATCAGTAAGGGAATCATAGGTTATGGGGGAAAAAAGGCAGGAAAGTCATAATCTCATTTAAATGGTGGAGCTAAATTGATGGGCTAAATGGCCTACTTCTGTTCCTACAACTCATTGTCATGCAGAAATTATTTGTTGAGCTGTATTGTTGAAAGGCAACTGCGGTGAGACTCTAAAATGGACATTGGTGAAAAGCTGGAGTTGTGGGAGAGTAAGTGTTTGGAGGACAGTTTTTGGTGTCGAGAGGGGAATAGACCCAGGAAACAAAGGTAAATGAATGGACCTGGATCATTTGTTGAGGCAGTGTATGACATCACAGCACTTGAGAGAGTTTAAGGTTAAATCAGTAAAAGTGAAGTGAACTGACTTACCGTGTGAAATTTAATCAGATTTGATACTCCACCCTGTCATTAATGTTTGTGGAAAGTTACTGAAAAATCCATGGGATCTGTCTTGGTCATACTTGATTGCGCTGTGGGATATTCAATGACAGAAATAAGTTGCATATGTATCATAGATTGTATGACAACTTATGTAGTGGTCTTGTTTGCTTAAAACTATGGAATCTTGTGGCTTTATTCTCTTTGTAAGTTTCTTGCAACTCACTTTTTGTTTACTTTTGAAAATAAAAAGTCATAATTTGGAGTTGGCTGTCAGTCTGGGGTCATAACAAAGTTAGCATTTTGATTGGAGGGGGGGGGCGGTCTCTTACACAATTTTTAAAATCACAGAGTGCTGAGAATTTGAGGTGAAATTTGGTTTGCTTAGGATTGTTTTGTTGTATGAAACCAGATTATGGTTCAATGCTTTATGCTTGAACATTTCATGCAGTGTATTTTCAAATTCATTAACATAAATTTTCATTGAAGTTTGAATTCTTCTAACGGTGAGGAACAAGTGTAATTTCAGTCAGAAATAGTTGTGTACCTATATTGCAGTTCCTGGGTGTGGAAATGCCAAGGCAACTGACTTAGCATATTGTGTGTGTAAGACTCTGGATTTGTCGAATATGTGCGAAACTGACCTGAAATTGTGCAAGAATGGGAAACATAATACCAACATGGACACCTGTAGCAGTATTGTAGGGTCAGGGTTGTCAACTTCAAGAAAAAGACAAACTGACATCTGACTAATTCTAAGCTCAATTAAAGACTACCATTACCTCTGTAGCTGAGGTTGACATTAGTGTCAATTCTTTATTGTTCCTTGCAAAACCGAACAAATTTGAACACAAGTGTTGGACAGTATTTCCATAAAGTTTCCTGGTCATGAAATTACTGGAATGCTCCAATGTGGTAAAAAAGTGGATTGCCTATCTGTGTACATTTAGACTTGGAAGTAGAGGGGTTTATGCAAAGGAAGCCAAGACTTTGTTTTTCACATAAATTTATCATCCTGCTCAATGTCAAGTAATGGATTGAAATGTGATCCCCACCTAAGACATTAGTGTGGCACTGGAAAGATAATCTGCAGTAAACTCAGAACAGTACATGGCAAAAGAAATACTTAGTCTATTAGTCACCAGCTGTGACAGGTAGATTATTTCATCTATCTGACTTGCATTCATAATACTGGGAATAAACACTTAAACATAGCTTAAATTGCTGCTTTATTATAATTGTTTGAAACTGAGGACTTCAGCATGTTGATATTTATTTTGTCTCAAGATTCTACTTGGATTGGCATTTTGCAAGGAAATTTTTTGTACTTAACTATCCTTTTAAGAGTATGACTTACTACTATGCAGAAAGTACTGATTTTGTAACTCTTTATTTCAAACTCAAACATATTATATCTTTTAGTTTGTGTGGTAGCTGATTTCTTTAAATTCTGATTTATTACATTTTGCCTAAAGAAGAATTGGTAACCTCTTAAACGGTTATATGGCTGAAGTGCAAACAATAACTGATCTAATCACTGACAGTTAATATAAATCAGTGACTGTTGTTTGTGTTGTTTCTGTCCAGTTGGAAACATTTTGGACAGGCAGGAAAAACAGTTGCACAGTCAAGCCATCTGTCCTGTGCATAATAGGAAAACGTTTCTCAAAATCATCCTGAATTTCATATGTTTTGTAGAAATCCGAGAGCAATACTTGATATCAGATCTTCTGAGAAGTTCAGCAAATCTTGTAAGCTTTTGGAAGGAATTAGAGAAGATTTCAGTAAGATTTAAGAACAGCAAATTTTCTGCCCCAAGTTACAGAACCAGACAGGTTTTTAGAACAATCAATACTAGTCACATGTTCACTATGAGGCTAGGTTTTATTTTGACATTCTTAATGATTTTAACTCACACCTATTGCTGTGGTGGAGATGTTTCTAAAACATTAGCCTGTAGTTCTGGATTATTAGGTCCAGGGACATTACTCCTACATCACTGCCTCCACTTCATCTTTGTACTCCAATCCTCCAGCAATAAAGGCTTACATGCCATTTAATTTCCTAATTGCTCATTTAACCTACTAACTTAACTGTTTTTTGTACAGGTACACCAAATTCTGCCAGAATATCAACATTTCCAAGTTTCACACTTTTTAAAAAAAAAATTATGCTTTTGATTGATTGCTAATTGCAAAGGCCCCAGCAGTGATCTTTGCAACATTCCCCTAAATGATTTGCCTGCCAATTTGAAAATGCCCCATTTATCCCACTCTGCTTCTTTCACTTAATCAATCAATCATCCACCCCACGTTAATATCACAACCCCAACCCCTAGAATTATTATCATGCATATTAGCCTTTTGTGTAGCACCTTTATCAAATATCTTTGAAAATCTCTCCTACAAATAATGCTAATATGTTATGTATAATTTCCACTTTGTAAAACCATAGTGACTTTACTTGATCATACTATGTTTTTCTAAGTGTATTCTTACAACTTCCTGAATATAGATTCTACCAATTTGCCAACCAATTATGGTAGAATAACTGATCTGTAGTTTGTTATTTGAGCGGGAGAGAAAAACCTATGTTTAATTTTGTAACTTCTGACCTGCTAGGATGATTCTGGAATCTAGGAAATTTTGGTCCATCATAGCCAGCACATTGACAATTTTGGCACCAAATGCTTTTAACAGCACTGAGATGTTGGTCATCAAGCCCCAAGAATGTCGAATCTTAGGCCCTGGTGATTCTCCAGTACTTTTCTCCGCTGATTTAACTTCCTTAATTTGCTCACTCTTATTAGCCCCTACGTTACCTCTATTTTTGGTCTGCAAGTGGTGTATTGTACTGTGAAGACAGAAACTAATTGTTCAATGTCTCTTCCATTTCCTCGTCCGTCTGATAATTTCTTCTGTTCCTGCCTCTAATGGACAAGAGTTTAGAACGAAGAACAAAGAACAAAGAAAATTACAGCACAGGAACAGGCCCTTCGGCCCTCCAAGCCTGTGCCGATCCAGATCCTCTATCTAAACCTGTCGCCTTTTTTCCAAGGATCTGTATCCCTCTGTTCCCTGCCCATTCATGTATCTGTCTAGATACATCTTAAATGATGCCATTGTGCCCACCTCTACCACCTCCGCTGGCAATGTGTTCCAGGCACCCACCACCCTCTGCGTAAAGAACTTTCCACGCATATTTCCCTTCAACTTTTCCCCTCTCACCTTGAAATCGTGACCCCTAGTAATTGAGTCCTCCACTCTGGGGAAAAAGCTTCTTGCTATCTATCCTGCCTATACCTCTCATGATTTTGTAGACCTCAATCAGGTCCCCCCTCAACCTCCGTCTTTCTAATGTAAATATAATCCTAATCTACTCAACCTCTCTTCATAGCTAGCGCCCTCCATACCAGGCAACATCCTGGTGAACCTCCTCTGCACCCTCTCCAAAGCATCCACATCCTTTTGGTAATGTGGCAACCAGAACTGTACGCAGTATTCCAAATGTGATCGAACCAAAGTCCTATACAACCGTAACATGACCTGCCAACTCTTGTACTCAATACCCCGTCCAATGAATGAAAGCATGCCGTATGCCTTCTTGACCACTCTATCCACCTGCGTTGCCACCTTCAGGGTACAATGGACCTGAACACCCAGATCTGTGTGTCATGTTTACTCTGGTTATTTTGTTTTTATATAAAATGTAAAAAAAAAAAAAGCTTGTTAAATCTATTTTGATATTTCTGGTTAGTTTTCTGTCATGGATCAGTTTTTTAAGTGGCCCTTTTCTTCTATTGCAGTCCCAATTGTTAGATTTACTACTTTCTTAGCATTAGAAGCCTCCTAATCTAATAATATCTGTAATCTTTTTAGTAAATGGATGGATCTTTCCTTGAAAGACAAAAAGTCAGCAAGGATTTTTTTTTTTTTTTTAAAATGTTTCAAATTGCTCCTACAGTAGTTTTTGTTTATCGACTACCGTATCTATTTTCCCAATCAACTGTATCAAACTCACTTCACCGTACCCATGCAATTGGCTGTGTTTACAATTCATTTGTAATTGGATTTAGTCATGTTTAAAACATATTGTGGAATTTGACTGTATTATGATTGCTCTTCCCCAGTGGATCTTTTACAAAAGCATTGCTAATTAACCATGCCTCATTGCATATCACTAGATCAAAAATGTTTTTATCCCTAGTTGGTTTCACAACATAGAAACAGTTACAAAAGCAGTCCACAAACTAAAGTCTTTTACACTGCCTTCATAAAATTGGTTGGTTCAGTCTAGAGGAAGATTAAAATCAACCATATTTACTACATTTGTTACCAGCTCAAGAAGTTTATTTAATGCTTTGACCAACAGTATAACTACTGTGAGAGCAGCTATATATTACTATCAATTTTTTCTGGCCTGAACTACTTCTAACCTGCAGAAATATTTCTCACTAATCTCCTTATATTATCCTTTATTACCATTTCTACCTCTGCCTGTATTTTCAAATGCTAATATATCCTAAAACGTTTATTTCCCATACTGAGAAACTAGGGGTAGGCTATTCAGCGCTTTGAAGCTTGCTCTAGCATTCATACTGATCCTCAGTCTCAACTCCCTGTTCCTAATTTCTGTCCAAACCCCTCAATATCTTTAAAAAAACCTACCTCTTCTTGAATATATTCAATGACTTGGCCTTCACAGCCTTCCACAGTAGTAAATTTCACAGGTTGACCACTCTCAATGAAATGTTTTCTTGTTTCAGTTCTTAAATGGTATACCTTGTATCTGCTACCAGGATTGAGGTGAGGCAGGGAGGGGCAGACTCCCTGACCAGGGAAAACATCATCTCTGCATCTCGTTTGTCCAGCCTTAAGTTTTTATGTTTTAAAAATGCGCTTCAATCATATTCCCTCTAATTATTCTAAACTCCAGTGCATACAGGCTCAGTCAAACAAATAGGACAGGCCTGCTCTCCCTCTATGATAAGTATCTCCTCTCTTTTTCTTAAGGAGACCAAAACTGAGCACATACTCCATGGTCTCAGTTTATTTTCTCCCTCTGGATTGATATTCTAGTGATAATACACTGAGCTATATCCCAAAGACCCAGGTAATGTTCTGGACCCAGATTCAAATCCGACCCTGGGAGATTGTGGCATTTGAATTACTCGTCGAGTAACCTAGTGAAATTGTTGTAATCATAGGCCTGCAAATCACTAGTGAATTAAAGTCACAAATTTTTGCACTCTTTATCCATTTTGTGGTCATATTTTGTTTCCTTTTAAAACTTTCCCAATCCTCTGCATTACCAATATTTCCTTTGTTGACTGTTATGTTTCTTTGCTTGATACTGTCCATAACTTGCTTGGTTAACCATGGCCAGTTTATCCCCTTCCTAGAATCTTTCTTCTTTACAGGGATACATTTTTGCTGCCTGTCATGAACTACTTAAAAAATCTGACAAAAAAAGTGATGGACAAGTCCAGTTCAATATAAAAGACAAAAGTGAAGCATTTGCAACCATCTTGACACTTCTGGCTGAAGTGGATGATCCACTTGTGGATCTACTTGTGGTCCCTGTCAGAATAGGTAGGGAGTCAATATAATTCACTCCATGTGACATCAGGTGGCTGAACGGACCAGATACAGCAAGTAGGCCGAGAAAACATTCCAGTTGCAGAAGTTAATTCTTCTTGTCAATGTTCTGAAATGTTAATATTGTTCTTCCCTCCAAGAGGAGAAACAAATTGCATATTTTCAAAACAAAAAATTCTAAGCAAGTTTTTCTCTTGACCAATCTTATATGAACTTACCATTTCTTAGATAATAGTGACTTCTTTAGGTTTTCTTTTCATGCTTTCTAGTCGGTTTAGAGGTCTGCCACCATTGTTTCTTTTGCTACTTCCCTCTCCAGTGATAAGCTTGTTTTCTTTATGCAGGCTTTTCAATAATTCCATCAGTTCTCTTTTTTCAAGTTCTGCTTGTTCTAGTTCCTGACGATGTTGTCTTTCTTCTGCAATGAGTGTCCGCATATCTGACATCACACGTGACATCTGACTCTGAAAATACAACTTTCCTTTATTGTCTGTTAGGAACAAGACCCTCTGACATGTCAAAATTAGCCATTGTAATTGGGGAAAAAGGGTGAACAATATGTGGACCAAACTTGCCCATTTGCCCTTCTCTGGGGTTAGGCCACACTTCCTTGACTAGCAGTGATTTTAGGGCTCACTTGTACTCCTCGAATTGTACTCTTCCCATATCCTGGAAATGAGCACTTATTGCCCTTGCAAACTTGCTTTCTTCCTGAACTACGAGTATTGAAGTAGGAGTAACTGGCAAAGTAGGTGAGGCAATGATTTAGTGGTATTGATCCAGTAACCCAGGTAATGTTCCAAACCCAGGTTTGAATCCCAGCATAGGAGATAGTCGAATTTGCATTTTACTAGTCCAGTAACCCAGTGAAATTGTCTTGACTTTAGGCCTGCATATTACTAGTGAAACAAAAATCAAAAATCTTCACCTTATCGATTATGAGCATTACTCACTATCCTCGCAGTATTACTCATCTCTAATTGCCCCAGCGAAGGTGGTTGTAAATAGCTACATTCCTTGGGGACAGCTATAGTGCTGTTCAGGTGGGAACTCCAGGAATTTGATCCAGCAATGGTGAGGGAATGGTATGAGACTTGGAGGGGAACTTACAGGTGATAGCATCTCTGTGTATCTGATACCCTTGTCCTTCAAGGTGGTAGAGATCACAGGTTTGAAAGGTACCTCTGCAAAGAAAGCTTAGTGAGTTTCTGCTGCGCATCTTGTAGAAGTCACACACAGGGGAACTGTACAATTGGGAGGTAGATAAAGGTGAGGGTTGAAGCTAAAGCAAAAAAAATTATAAATCTACAAAATCATTCATTTAACAGCACTCCGTCGTAACAATTCTTTCTGCTGGCAATTCTCTTGTTGAAAATTGATTTGACAACATCACTGTTAAAAACTGGCTAGACTTGATAGAAACCCCCCCCGAAACAGTAGGTCTTGTCCAAATGGTGACATAGAAGCAAGAAAATCAAAATTCTCACTGATGTCAGCAATTGCCAGCTTTCTGCCATACAGTGTACGCAGAGCCCTTCGTGGGATATGACCTTAAATAACAATCTACGCTCAAAATTTCCACACTAATCTGTATGTCAAACAACCTGCAACAGTAAAATACTGCAGACACCGAAAAACCGAAATGAAAACAGAAAATGCTGAAAGCTCAGCAAGTCTGGCAGCATTGTTACAGAATCAGAAGTAAGGGCACAGACTGAATTATAAATTCCCTCCCTCTCCCACAACAGGGTCTACCAGCCAGTTACAGTCAGCCTCCGCCAGTTTCACATCAACACCAAACTGCCTTGCAAAGTCCAGCCCTATATCCAAGATATTATAGGTAAACTGTATCACAAGTGTAAACCCACCAAGGTTCTGCTAGAATAGAGCAGAGGATGACTGTAACCAAAAATGTTTGAGCCCAGACCTCTTGCTGGGACATCCTAGTCCACATTCCAGCAGTGGAGGCTATACTCACCTTTTACAAAGTCAGAGATCCAATGATTGGTAGGATGCTGTTTCTAAAGACTTTCTACATTTAAAGCCCTTAAGGAATCTAGTTGAAGACCAGAGATGATTTCACCCAGTTAGAAATGGGCCAAAGAAGGATAGAGGAACAGCCTATATCCCCATTCTGATGATTGGTCAGGCTTGCAGTTTACATTCTTAAGCATCCATGGTGTACTGGCGTTGGGCAGGCAGCCTTGTTCAAATAGATTACCAACAATTTAACCTCATTACTGCCTGTACATTTTCAGAGTGTTATATATCATTAAATATTCAATTTCATAGAATAATAAAACATACTAACTTTAAGTTCCTCAATTTCATTTTGCAGCAGACTCTCCTTCTGGACCATATGCCTTCTTTGGGAATCTAAACGAGACTCCATTTCATGCCTTACTTCTTCAACTTTACAAATCATTTCAGACCTTTTGTAAAAAGTAAACAAATTTATGGATCATACTTGTCAGATTTGTCATTCATTTTGCTCTATTTTCTTTCTTTAGATCTCTTTGTACAAAGTACTGACTCACCCTGAGGCCATCATAACAAAGCCCAATCATATCTCCACCCAATGTTAATATGGATGTTTTCAGTAAAGGTAAAGTTGCCATAGTCTAGCTGGCCTATAGGGCTGCTTTTGCATTAGAGACAGACTAAAATGATGGTGGTTTAACCCAAGGGTTACCACACCTCAGGTGAGGTAAGAGATTGAGAAGAGGAGTCAGGGAGTTGTACAGCATGCAAACAGACCCTTCGGTCTAACTCGTCCGCGCCAACCAGATATTCTAAACTGATCGAGTTCCAATTTGCCACATTTGGTCCCCAACTCCTAAAAATCCTCCTAATCATGTACCCATCTACACACCTTTGCAACGTAGTAAGTGTACCCACCTCCAGCACTTCCTCCGGCAGCTCGTTCCGTACACGCGCCACCCTCTGCGTGAAAAAGTTGCCCGTCAGGTCACTTTTAAATCTTTCCCCTCTTGCCTTAAACTATGCCCTCTAGTTTGGGCTTCCATACCCTGGGGGAAAAAAAGACCTTGGCTATTCACCATATCTATGCCCCTCATGATTTTATAAACTTCTGTAAGGTTACCCTGCAGCCTCCGATGCTCCAGGGAAGATAGCCCCAGCCTATTCAGCTTCTTCCTATAGCTCAAACACTTCAATCCTCGGTAAAATCCTTGTAAATCTTTTTGGAACTCTTTCAAATTTACCATCTTTCCTATAATAGGGAGGATACACTCAACACAGTATTCTAAGAGTGACCTTACTAATGTCCTATACTTTCAAGAGACCATGTAGAAGTCCTGGAAAGTCCCCTGGAAATTACAACCTCCAAATGGACAATTATTCAGGTGTCTGAAATCCTCATAAAACCCAATGCCCTCCTGACTCCCATGGACACTAGGCCCATGACATTCCCAAAAACACCTCAGACACTACCAACCTGTCAGCAGACCTCCTGTCTCAACAACACCCACCTTCTCTCCATTCCCTCCAACCCAACACCATCACAACCCAGTCTGACACTACTACCCCAAACCTCATTTGGTCACTCAATTTCCCCCATCTCCAAACTCCACTTCGTAAACCTCAGATGCCTGGTGTCCATCATAATCCTCAAACCTGTGCTAGAACCTGCTTCTGAGGGACAGGTCTTCACAGAAATCACCGAAGATGCATCAAATGAAGACACCCCCTAAATGAATTGTTTGCTGCATGTCCATCAACTCTTGCAAAGATGCCAATGACAACAATATGGTTCTCAATCAAAATCTCAAACTTGTGAAGCAGAGCTTGTTAGACAATTGGAGCTTCTTTGACTAAAAGCTGAGGAACTGTTAAAGGCAAGACAACAGCATTGTTTGGCAGAAGAATATAGTTACAGCATACATACAGCATGACTAGTTTACAAAGGCAGTTTCTACCGTAAAATACTAAAAATGGTAATTTTTTTAGCTAAGAAGCACAGACAATGTAAAATGAAATAGAAATACCATGTTTGTACAAGATGATATCTGACCACGTGCCCTTTTGAGAGATGCAACCCACTCACTAAAACAATTTATGGAAACATGTGAATTTATATGTAACACTTAATGAACAGAAAACAAATCAAAGTACTTTACAGAAGAATAAATCAGTCAAAAATGGGCACTGAACCAAATGTTACTATAAGGATTGACCAAATGTTTGGACCAACAGATAGGTTTAAGGAGAGGCAAAAGGACAGAGCAATGGAGGTTTAAGTTGGGAATTCCTTGGGGTTTTGTTCTAGTATTCCTGAAATGAGGAGTATGAACACTGCAGGGATAATTCTCATGACATCCTGATAAATATTCTGCAATGAATGGTACCATGGATATGGCATTTAAGGAGTGTATTATATAACTGATTCAACAGTTAATGAATTTTTACTAATCCTCAAAATTGTACAAGGAATATCAGATAAGTGATAGCCCCAACAAGCACCTGGAATTTAAAACAAAAATGGCTGAAATCAGTACTCAATCTTTTTCTCAGCTTGAGATCAGGTTCTGAAATGATGCGTGACATACCGGAGTAATTCTAATTCAGTCCTCAGCTCTGCTATACAGTTGTGTTGTGCATCATCTGCACTAAGAATAGCATAACCACATCCATTTGGGCATTCACGACTTCGATATTCACATACTGCCAAGTGAGAATCCAAATTGCGTCGCTCTACCTGAACAGTACAACCTATGAAAATAATTGCATAAATATGCTTTAAAAACCACAGTTAAAATTTTAAAATATTATAAAACAGCAATATGGCACCAGAAAGAACATGCAAAACATACAAGGAGACAGCAGGTTTCTGGGCTACAGTACAAGTTTGTAACTGAAGACAAATTCAAATTTGATTTTTCTGGACAAATAATTTAAGACCAATATGATAGCCTACCAAATTGGAAAGCTACTTACCTCAATGCAGGGGTAAGATAAATAAATGTAAAAGTATGGAAAACATCTGCTCAGCGATATCCTTGTACATTACTTGAGATTAGATTCTACAAAGCATTAAGATCAAGCATTCATACAATTCCTTGAGCTGGTTTGTGATGTTTCTGTTTCAAAGTTAATTGTCCACTGATGCACTGCGGAGCTGGCGATTTTAATTTCAGAATTGTGTAAATTTACAGGAGGATGCATGAAGCCCATTGTGCTTTTGCTGGCTATGTGAAAGAGCTTCTCATTGCTATTGGGCTGCTTTGATTACTTTGTAATGTCTGTTCACTCACTCATGCCCAACAGGATCCCCATCCTGACAAAAACACACACACAATTACTTGGAGGGTAAAAATAATATGTTCCAAAATTAGCCAATTTAAGAATTAATGATCTTTTGACTTTACAGGTTAGATTACATTTAAAGCAATAAACAGTATGCATTTCCACAGCATCTTTACACACAAAATTAAAGGAGCAAAATATAATTATATGAATAAGACTGAAGTATAATGTTAGAAAGTTAAAGGGAGGTGACATAAAGGTGGTTGCTAGGAAGGCTTTTAAAGGATGTACAGAGGTGACAGGTTTACGGAGGAAAATCCAGAAGGCACGTCTAAATTTTAAACATAATTGGTGAATGAAACAAGACATGTACAGAAGCTTAGAAGTTGGAAGATTAGAGGATGTATGAGGTATCATAACATTTGAATGAACTGCAGAAATAGGGTGGAGTTAATAAGGAAGATTTTGGAGAATGAGAAAATCCAGTTAGAAGATGGGAACAGAAGCCATTATTGAAGATTTGTTGGCAACTTAAATTGTTGTTCATTTTAATAGGAACAGTACAATACAAGGCCAAAAGGTAGAAGAGGAAAAGCTAACAGAACACACTTCTCTATCACCCGAAATATTACGCACTCTGCATGCTGCTATCAAGGCAGCAGCAGTGAGAAAGAAAACGTGTACTTTCTCCAGGACTGTGCCTATGCAGCTTGTAACACAGGACTTTGTGCTCTACAAGCTGCTGTTATTGACTTGCACAAGATAAACATCAACAATGGCAGGAGGACTAGCTAGTTAGCGAAAGACACCCTGTCTGTCTGTTTTAAACTTTCTGGTCTTTCAGTGCAGAGAGCGGTCAACAATCAAGTGTTGCAGACTGGCACATTCCAAGATGGAGGACTATACGCTGATGGATGCACAAAAGCTTTTACTTTTTTGTTTGAAATTGTTTATATAGATAACGTTAGTAGTCCTTGTTCCCAAAAGACCCAGGAGAGGTTTCTAGCTGCTGTTTGGTTGAGGACTCAATGTCAAATGCTGTGAGATTTTTCTCCTTTAGTCTGAACAATAATATTGCATCAATAATGTCTAGCTGAACTAAAAGGGCACGCCAATAGTATATTGGTCCCATTTAACAATAACACGCTCGGCAACTATGCACTATGTTCATATTATCTGCACAATCTGAACAAAGGATAAGCATGCAGTCAAATTAGTCAAGCTATTTTTAACAATTCAAATCACAGCACCAAAAAAAAAAATGCACAAAATGACTAAGTAAAATTTTAAAATTCAACGTTAAACATTGCACTGCAACAAAATTCAGTGTGAAGTACATACCACAATCATAACACATGTAAATTCCACCTAAAAAGAAAATTGGTAAAAGGATACTTCAAACACTTGGGCTAAAAAATTGCGAAGAATGGCTTTGCTCTTGTTGTAGAAGTCTTCTGAATTTAAATGATACAAAGAAACACACTCCATCATATCGCCACTATTATTATATACCCTCGAAAAATGTACAGATATCCAAGAAACCCAAAGCATAGCACTGGCGACAATATATTGGTTGGCCATGTCAAAAACTGTAGATATCAAGCAGAATGTTAATAATTCTGATCACAGTCACAGTGAATGTCATTAGTGACTTTGGCTTGGGGCATTCTGATGTGACAGAAGGGGTGGAAACTTAATGGTAGATATTGAAAGAGAGTTGCAGGAATGATGGCGATAACAACACATTCAAGGACTTTGTAGAGTAAAGGAAAAACAGAGTAGTAGGGTTATTTCCAAAGATAAAAGGCGTAATAATGTACTTATTCAGTAAGGTGGTGATGAACGAAATTCTTAAATTTAAGAAGGCAATATTTGAGGACTAGGAATTATTTACAATATCACCTGAAGGAAAGTTGGGTGACCAGCAATTTGGGTTCAAAGAAACAAAGGTTCCAAGAGAAGAGGAGCTTGGAGAGGGCTTATCAGAAGCCAGAAGTTAAATGAAGTGAGAGGTGGTTCAGAGGGCAAGATGGGATGGACAGGTTTCTCTTAGGGAATGGGAGTGTACCAAAGAAGCAACTATTAGTGTCTATCTTGATGACAAATAAAAAACAAAAAAAAAAAAGGGACAAAAGAGAATGATTTATGAAAACGGTCCATCATATTGCAAAGCAGCCAGGGATTATGTTTGCTCTCCAGGATGATCAAAGACCGACAAGGGCCTTTTACAGATGCAAGAGAATCCTGGTGAGGCTTTATCTAATCCAACCAAATCTGATAGCAAATGACCAAGCCACCTTGATCCAAATATATTCATGTTTGCAGCCTTTGACTTGAAGTACTAAAAGAAAAAGGAACATTCTAGAGAAGTTGACTGATTTTGGATATAATTAATCTTCTTCTGGTAATGAAGAAATCCAATATTGTGCAGAGGGACTGCATTTGGATTGTAGAGAGCAGTTTTGGGCACCATAACTAAGGATGGATATGCTGGCTTTGGAGGGGGTCTAGAGGACGTTTACAAGAATGATCCTGGAGATGAAGGACTTGTCATATCAGGAGTGGTCGAGAACTCTGGGACTGCACTCGAAGTTTAGAAGGATAGTGGGGGGCATATGACTGAGTATATTCAAGACAGAGATACGTAGGCTCTTGATTGGTAAGGGGATCAAAAGGTACGGGGAGAAAGCAGGATTATGGGGTTGAGAAATAGATCAGCCACCATCAAATGGCAGAGCAGTCTCAATGGGCTGAATGGCCTAATTCTGCTCCTACATCTTATGGTCTTATGATTGAGAAAATAAATATTAGTTAGATTAGAGATGACACTTGTTTTTATTTCCCTTATGTGAATAAACTCCAAGACAAAGCGATTAAATTATTTGAAAACAGAACTAAATACTTGGTTAGAAACAGAACTTCAAAGGCAATGCCAATGTCTTTGTATAACAAGTTGCCAGACTAATGAGACCCATGTCATGGAAAGCAACTGCACAAAGTTGGAAAAAAAAAGTTCAGGTTTTAACTCTGAATTACTCTGAAGTGTCACAGAGTTCATGTGGGGAAGAAGGTTTGCAGGTTTCTAGGTTTCTGTGGAGATAGATGAAAGATGAAAAAAAAAGGAATTACGATTTTATTATTCATTCATGAGACAAGGACATTGCTGGCTAGGCCAGCATTAATTGTCCATCCCTAGCTGTACTTGGGACGTGAGCTGCCATCTTGATCGACTATGGTCTGTGTGTGTTGTAGTAGACCTACAATGCTGTTGTGGACAGAATTCCAGGATTTTGACCCAGTGACAGTGAAGGAATAGCAAGTCAGGATAGTGAGTGGCTTGCTGGGGAATTTGCAGGTGGTGGTAGTGTTCCCATGTATTTGCTGCCTTTGTCCCTCTAGATCGATTAGTCATGGGTTTAAAAGTTATTGTCTTTGTGAAAGATCTTTGGTGAATTTCTGTAATGCATCTTGTAGATACACACTGCTTCTACTGAGCGCCAGTGGTGGAGTGACTGAATGTTTGTGGATGTGGTGCCAATCAAGCAGACTCCTTTGTCCTGGATGTGTCAAGCTTCTGAGGTGTTGTTGGAGCTGGCAAGTGGGGGGTATTCCATTACAGCCTGACTTGTGCCTTGTAGATAGCTTTGGGGACTCGAGAAAAGTTACTCACTGTAGTTTTTTTCATTCATTTGTTCACAGGATGTGGCCAGCAAGGTCAGCATTTATTGTGCATCCATAATTGCCCAAAGGGCAGTTAAGAGTCTAGGTTGTGAAGTAGGCCAAACCAGGTAAAGATAGCAGTTTCCTTCCCCAAAAGACATTGGTGAACCAGATTGGTTTATCCAACAATTGACAATGGTCATCATTAGACCTCCGGATTTTTTTTTTTTTTTTTTAAAAAATCGAATTCAAATTCGACCATCTGCCAAGGCAGAATTTGACACAGACCCCCGAAAATTAACTGGATTAACAGTCTAGTGATACTACCACTAGGCCATCTTTTCCTCTTGGTAGTCTTAACCTCTGACCCGCTCTTGTAGTGGCTGTATTTATATGGCAAGTCCAGTTCAGTTTCTAGTCAAAGGTAACTCTCAGGAAGTTGATAGTGGGCTTTCAGTGATGGTAATGCCATTGATTGTCAAGGGTGAAGTTAGATTTGCTCTTATTGGAGATTGTCACTATACCTGGCATTTGTGAGGCACGAATGTTGATTGTCACTTTCCAGCCAATCCTGAATGTTGTCCAGACCTTATTGCATTTGGACATGCACTGCTTCAGTTTGCTCAACATTTGCCGATAATTGCACAACGTCCTGCTTCTGACCTGATGATGGAGGGAAGGTCATTAATGAAGCAGTTAAAGACTGTTGGGTCTAGCTCACTATTGAGGAACTCTTGAAGAGATGTCCTAGAGCCGAGATGACTGACTTCCAACAACAGCCGTTTTCCTATGTGCCAGGTATGACTCCAGTCATTGAAGAGTTGGCCCCTGGATCCCATTGACTCCAATTTTGCTCAAGCTCCCTGATGTCACACTTGGTTAAATGCAACTTTGCTATCAAGAGCAGTCACTCTCACTTCACCTCTGGAATTCAGCTCTTTTGTCCATATTTGAACCATGTTTGAAGGCTGCAATAAGGGCAGGAACTGAGTGGCCCTGGGCGTCAGTGAGCAGGTTGTTGCTGAGCAGATGCTGCTTGATATACGATGTTGATAGAACCTTCCATCACTTTACTGATGATCGACAGAAGCCTGATGGGGCAAATAGCTTGGCGGATTGAATTTGGCCTGCTTGTTTACAAGGCACATCTGGGCATTTTTCTACACTCTGTCAGATAGATGCCAATGTTGCAGCTGCTGGAAGAAAGATAGCAAGTTCTGGAGCACAAGTCTTCAGTACTATTGCTGGATATTGTCTAGGCTCACAGCCTTTGCTGTATCCAGTGTCTCCAGCCAATTTATGGTATCCTATAGAGTGAGTCAAATTGGCATCTGATGCTGGGATCTGTGAGAAGTCTGAGATGGATCATCTACTCCAAAATTTTGGCTGAAGATTGTTGCAACACTTCTTTTGCTCCGATGTGCTGAAATCTTTCATAATTGAGGATGGGGATATTTGTGGAGCTGCCTTCTTCAGTGAGTTGTTTAATTCATAACTGGATGTGGTAGGACTACAGAGTTTTGATGTGATCTGTTGGTTGTGGGGTCGCTTAGCTATCACTTGATGCTTATGCTGTTTGGTATGCAAGCAGTCCTGTTTGGTATCTTCACCGCTTGACACCTTTTTAGATATGCCTGGTCCTGCTCCTGGCATGTCCTCCTGCACTCTCCATTGAACCAAGGTTGGTAATGGTCGAATGGGTGATGTGCCATGCCATGGATTGCAGGTTGTACTCCAACACAATTCTGCTGCTTCTAATGGCCCAGAGCACCTCATGAACCCCCAGTCTGGAGTTGCTACATCTGTTTGAAATCTGTCCCATTTAGCACAATGTAAGATATTCTCAGCACGAAGGCAAGACTTTGTCTCCACAAGGACTGGACTGTGTGGTGGTGATTCTTACCAATACTTTCATTAAGAGATGCATCTGCTGGCAGATTGGTAAGGATGAGGTCAAGCATGTTTTTCCATCTTGTTGATTCTGTCACCACCTACTGCAGACCCAATCTAGCAGCTATATCCTTTAGGACTCAAACAGCTTGATTGGTAGGGCTGCTGCCGAGCCACTCTTGATGATTACATTGACATCCTCCAATCCAGAATATATTCTGCACTCTTGCTACCCTCAGTGACTCTCTCAGCTTTAAACAGCCTTATTTATTGATTCAACCTCAGTGGTTAGGGCCCTGGTGCTGTCAGGCAGCAATGCGAAGTTCAAATCCAGCCTTGAGTGACAGTCTGTGTGAAGTTTGCACCTTCTCCCCGCATCTGCCTGGGATTCCACCAGGTGCTCCAGTTTCCTCCCATAGTCCAAGGATGTGAAGTTTAGGTGGATTGGCGAAGCTAAAAATTTTGCCCCGTAGTGCAGGCTAGGTGGACTAGCCATGCTAAAATGCAAGATTATGGAGATTTGCAGTGGGGTTGTCAGGGGAGATGGGACTGGATGGGATTATGTTCAGAGAGTCAGTGCAAATTGATGGGCCAAATGGCCTCTTTCTCCAGAAGGAATTCAAAATTCTATTATAACCAATACAGATTTCCAACGAAATACTCCTAATCTGAAGGTTCTACAAACTAAGCGCTTTCACTGAGGTAATTCATTTCCTTAACTTTTCTGAAAAAAGCTGTACTGGCACCTAACTTTAGTCAGGTCTCCCCTCAACCTTAAATTAAAAGCTTTTCAACCAAAGTTTTTTAAAAAAAAATAAACTTGCTCATCTTAGTTTCTGCTAAGTTAGTAGCAAAACTTATTTTCTTTGCTGTAAACAACACAATAAAACAAACTTCCATTAAACACTATAGGTGGCCTCTCTGCCACATTTTAAAATCATGGTTTTGGAAAGATTTACCTAGTTAATGTTTAAATCTCTTCACTGAAATAGACCAACACTGGTATGCCACTTGTTTAATATCCAAATTCTAAAGAAAAATATTTACATATATAAATCACACACCTTTCACCGAGTAAGACAACCAAAACCAAACAAAGTGCGCCAAACGTCAGATCATACCTTTTATTTTACATATGAGCAGTTAGACTTGGTTTAAATACTTCAGCTTAGAAGATTTTCTACTCTAACTACTACAATGAAAAATCAACAAAGGAAGAGGAGCAGAAAGGAGGTGTAGAGAAGGAATATTATTTGTCAAATGATAATTTCTCATCCATGTTTTGATCCATGTTATATGCACAGCTGAGAATTCTGTCAATTCTTGCAGGCAAGATATTCCACAGCATGATTTTTAGGCTGACTTGCAAGATACAGATATTAAGGAATTCACTGAATTCCTTCCTGGCAAATTAGATTAAAAACATGCTTTCTGGGGTACAAGTTAATTAAAATCTCCATGATCAAGATCACTGACGTCCAGTTGCAGTCGTAACAGATTTGTCCAATCAAAAGAAAAGTGTCCACTTAGCTTTCCGTGCATTATATAGGCCAAATTTGACAGTCTGGCTGCTTCTGGATGCCTCCAATGTAGGCTGCTTTGTAGACCTCAATACAGTACAACAAAGGTGAAGACATGCTGCTACCTCCTCCCTCCTGAACTGCTCATGATAACAGAGGACCTGGAAATGCCACTGAGAGGTCAGCAGCATGGAAATTAACACTGAAAGACAACTGTAATGAAGCTATGTAGGTAATTACACAGCATTTTGATTTTATTTTTAAAAGTTGTTTTTAAACTTTTTTTGATTAAGCATAGTAATTTTTAAAAAAGATTTAATGTCTTAGTTCATATTAAATCTAGGTAAAATTAGTATATATTTACATTTAACATTCAGTTTTATTTAATGGTTTTGAGTGAAGGAGTGAGTTAAGAGGTAGTATGAGCTAAGTGAGTGAAGGGGCAAGCTTGGCTGATGGCAAGGTTCATACAGTGGCAAATAAACAGATGTGGGCTTTGGGTAATGGCAAGTTGAGGCTCAATGTAACAGTTAGCCAGAAGACAGAATAAGTTTTAATTCCTCTAATTTTTCTTGGGTAACTATTAAATAAAATCAGTTCAGAATCATTGAAAATCTCTGACTCTAACTCAGACTTTTCCTGAGTGTTCCAGATGCTGGGTAATTGAAACTCCCTCAGCAATTTCCGTGAAATCAGCCAAGTTGGAACTTCTGTACTGTCCCAATATGCAACTGCTGTATATGCTGCTACAACAGCAACAGCAATCTTTCCATGAGATGATCTGGGCCATTATGAAAACAGATTCTGGTTAATTCTTTGTTTAGCCACCAGAGGGTACAGATCAGCAGAATAAAATCAACCAGAAGCACACAACACTTATTCTCAAGAATTAGTAAACTGAACTTGTGTATTTCTTTCTCCAAGCTAACACTGATGATGAGTCACAATTTTAGAAGGTAATACAAAAGTAGTCCCATATAATAATAGATAATTTGGCTCAGAATAAGAATTTTAGACAAATTTTACAATTTTGCTAAGTGAAAAAAAAATCATTTTGTATTTCTGTCCACAATTTTGAAACTCTAATACATCAAATTACATTAAAATGTCCGAGGTATTTTCTCTTCCTGTAATTTATGAAAACATTTTTTAAAAAATGTTAAGCTGCACTCAGACCAGATTTATACAACTTTTGCACTTCAAAAAGGAGAGCATATTTTCTCAAATTTCAATTAATAGAAACTATTCACATCTAAGCCAGAAATTGCAAGCACCTCTAGCTAATAATAACATTTATTTAAAAACTATTTTTGTTGTTTTTTACTTACCAGCATTTAAGCAAGGAATTTGGCTGTATTCACACTCTCTTTCGTGCCTGTCAATAGCTTCTAAAGAACAGATTGTTTCACAACCATGCTGCCTATTTTTGCACCAGATCTGAAGGCGATTCAAATCATTTCGCATATACCTAAGAAGTTTAAAAAGAAATTAAGAACCACATAGTTTACTACCTCGACCTCTCCCCCACCTTTAGGCTAACAAGCAATTTACTTCATCAAAATGGAGAGGTGATGGCATAGTGGTATTATCGCTGGAGTATTAATCCAGAGACCCAGTTAGTGTTGTGGGGACCCAGGTTCGAATCCCACCAAGGCAGATGGCGGAATTTGAATTCAATAAAATATCTGGAATTAAGAATCTAATTATGACCATGAATCCATTGTCGATTGTCGGAAAAACCCATTTGGTTCACTAATGTCCTTTAGGGAAGGAAACTGCCATCCTTACCTGGTCTGGCCTACATGTGACTCCAGACCCACAGCAATGTGGTTGACTCTGAACTGGCCTCTGGGCAATTAGGGATGGGCAATAAATGTTGCCTAGCCAGCGACGCCCTCATCCCGTGAATGAATAAAGAATGAAAATTATTGTTATTGGTGAAAGCATAAGAGTTGCAATCTCTACTGAATCAATAACTTAAGAGATTTGTACTTGTATTTCTAGCTGAAAGAATTACGTTAGAATTTCACATCTTAAAACTTTTACTGTAACTAATTACTAAAAACATTACTGAATAAACAACTTTTCTTTTGATCGGCAACTTGTGCTTTAAACTCATAGCAATATTCCCCATCTGTACATATCACACATCTCACTCTGCACAGAATTATAGTCTTTGTAGCCAACAGTTTACAGTTATTCCCAGCTTCCAGTGGGTTCCTATATCCCCATTTGGTCAAGTGTTAACTTTGGGTGACTGCGACCACATGCTTTCTTCACTTTTGGAGTATTTCATAAATCCACCACCAGCAAGAAAGATCACTCTTAACTCTAGCCTTGCAAGGACAAATCCCTGGTGCGCCGAGTTCCCTCATCTTGAGGACAGGGATATTTGTGAAGTCTCCTCATCCAGCAAGTTGTTTAATCATCCATCACCATTCGTGACAGGATGTGGCATGACTGCAGAGCTTGGATCTGATGGGGATAGTGCCACACAACATGATGCAAGGTATTCCCAACGTGAAGCTGGGACTTAGTCTCTCACAAGAACTGTGTGGTGATTGCTCTTACCAATATTGTCATGCACTACTGCATCTGCAGTTGACAGGTTGGTGAAGATTGAGTCCATTTGTCCCCTCACCATCTGCCGCAGAACCAGAATAGCAGCAGTGTCCTTTAAGACCTGACCAGCTTGAACAGTAGCTGCTGCTGAGCCACTCTTGGTGTGGACGTCGAAATCAGAGTACACTCTGCGCCCTTGCCACTCGTATTTCCTCCAAGTGTTGTTCAATTTGAAGGAATACTGATTCATCAGCCAAAAGATGACATTACATGGCAATCAATAGTAGGTTTCTTTGTGCATGTTTGATCTGGTGCCAAAACTGAGACTTCATGGTGTCTGGAGTCAATGTTGATGACTCCCAGGGCAGCTTCCTCACCTCTGTATTCCACTGTGCCGCCATTCCTCTAGGCCTGTTGGGCCAGTGGAATAGGACATATCCAGGGACAATGATAGTCATGTCTGGAACATCTTTACGTAGGATTCCATAATAATCAATATGTCAGGGTGTTGTCTGACTAGTCGGAGACAGTTCTCCCAATTTTTACTCTGCAGGACCTACTGGACTGAATTTGCCATTGTCATTTCCAATGCTTAACCTGATGTCAGGAGGTCTGGTTTCATTTCTTTTTGGAGACTTTCTAGTGATTGTTACAGCTGAGTGCTTTTCTAGGGCATTTCAGAAGGCATTTAGGAGTCAACTACATTGCTGAGAATCTAGAGTCATATGTCAGCCAGATCCAGTTAGGATAGTAGTTTCCTTTTCTAAAGGGCATTCGTGAACGTGATGAGTTTTTCTGACAATTGTTTCACTGTCGTAATCATTTCATTAGACTCTTAATTCCAGATTTTTAATCGAATTAACATTGTACCGTATTCAATTTCTGCCAGAGTGGGATTCAAATCTGGGTGACCCAGAACATTACCAGGGTCTCAGGAATAATAGCCTTGTGATAATACCACTAGGCCTCCGTCTTTAAAAACTTGGAAAAAACTTTCCTCAATCTCTAACAATCAAATCAGCTAGGCTTATGGTCAGGCAAGGTCCAGGACAAGTCACATCCCTTCCTTCATTTTACCCCATTAAAATTGCAGTCTCAAAACATATAGTTATTGACCTCAATTATAATAATAATTATAAATTATCAAATTTTAAAACAGAATATAAATTGCATTATGTCCATGTTAGTCTGTAATATTGAACATCACTTATGCTTTAGTTAATGATTTTCATTTACAATGAACTGCAATCTCAAAAAAAAAGGTGCTAAAGCTATATTGCTATCTATCTTGCATAGACGTAACTTATTACTTTTAGGGACAAAAATGTTAAAAAAAACAACAACTGATACATTATATAGGTTACAAGGAGTCTACACAGTTGAAAAGGTGCTGGGGTGAAGGAATTACTAAAGAATGCACACCTCCATAGAAATGTTTTTGAAACACAAATACGCCAGCTCGGAAACAGAAAATTCAAGTTTTATCAAAAACCAAATGTCTGTTTTAAAAATCCTTCCTAGAATTGGGCGACCAGAACCAGATACAGGATTCCAGAAGAGGCTTCACCAATGTCCTGTACAACCTCAGCATGACTTGCCAACTCCTATACTCAAAAGGACTGAGCAATGAAGGCAAGCTCGCCAAGCATCTTTTTAACCACTCTGTCTACTTGAAATGTTTGACTATTTGCATTTTTTTTGATTAAAATAACAAAGTTAACAAAGGGAATGCAATCATTGTTGACTTTACAGTTTTAAAGAAAATGTTTGGCAAAGTACCAAATAAAAGTTGATTAACAAAATTGAGGCTCACGGAGTAGGAGTGTGCACGCCATCTTGAGATCAAATTAATACTTTATAAACCATAGCCTACAGATATTCTGACTTCTGTTTTACAGCATGTTCAGTTCGTGGAAGAATCTTCAGCACATCCCAATCATGAGCTAA